ATATAAAGCCTTTTATTCATTTGAAAAACATTAGCGTCTTCATCCATTCATTTTTGTCTTATTATAGTTTGATTAAGTATCTATAAAATAAATAAATTAGTACTTAATGTTTTGTCAGCATTTTGATCTATATAAGAGAGTTAAATTTTGTCTTTTAGGAAAGATTATTAAGGGTGTGTGTAGTTGATGCACATTCTTTTGACCCCACAAACCTTTTTAATGATGATGATTATATTTTCTAACAAAGTAGGATATTATACCTCGCATGAATTCAACCTCTAAGTATTTATTTACTTCTTGTTTAATCATTTTTAGGCTATTTAGGGTGAAGTTTTGCTTCTTCTTATTGACCAGCTTATATGTTGGGTCTATTTTTATGGAAATTAAATTATTGTTGAGTCAATTCCAAACATATTTAGGAGATTGTTTGATATTTAGATTTGATTATAGATGGATGTATAGTTGACTAGGATAGCGTCTCTTAGACAAGGACGATTGAGATCTAAATGAGATTGAAGCTCGCAAGAAGATGAGATTTATACTTGACTATGATACAATCTCTTAGGCAAGGAAGATTGATATCTGGATGGGATAGCATCTCCCAAATAAATGGATTTATACTTGAATATGATAGCATCTCCTATATAAGAAAGATAGAAATCTTGGTGGGATACTGTCACCCCAGCATATGAGATTTATACTTGACTAGGATAATGTTTCCTTGATAAGAAAGATTAAAATTTGAATGAGATAGTAGCTCTCAAGCATATGGTACATATACTTAACTAGGATAACGTCTCTAGACAAGAAAGATTGAAATCTGAATGAGACGACAGCTCTCAAGCAGATGAGATTTATACTTCACTAGAATAACATCTCCTAGACAAGAAAGATTAAAATCTAAATAAGAAAGTGGCTCTCAAGCAGATGTATTTATACTTCTTGACAAAGATGTCTATTTTTATGCCAAAAGTCTACTTACTCTAGTTTTTGCTCATTAAAGAGCAAAGAAAATAGTGGAACTATCCACAAATAAGTATCAATTAATTGTGAAATATAAGAAAGGTCTTTACAAAAGTGGTCCTTTAAGATACTTATTCAACATGTAGGTCAAGTTTCTCGATGTTAAGGGTCCTCAACTAGCATGATAGCATTTATTTAAGGTAACACTTGCTACTTACTAATTTTTTGTATGAGACTACTTATAGTCAAAGTAGGGAACTTCATCTTAAGGAGTGGTATTTAAGCAAAAAATTGAAGATTAAATGGAGGGGCTTCCCAAAGATGGCATTATATGTTGGATTGTGACTTGAATACTATGAACTTAATCAAACAAGTCATTTGCCAGGGAATTCTCCAATCATAATATGAAGAGTGATTGCTCTGTGTACCCTAAATAGCAAATTATCATACTTGTGGAGTGTAGTAGTAACAAATTAAGTTTCACCCAAATAAGATCCATGTTGAGAAATGTGGAGCAGAATATGACATGGATAGTGCTTTATTATCAATTAAAATTCTTTTAATATTATAATATGTGTTGTTAATCCCCGAGTTGATTATAAGTGGGTCTTTGTACATGATGTAAACTCCTTCTAAGTTGGTCTCATCAAAATAATGGACTGGTTTGCATAATATTTCTTTTGCACAAGCTCCTTGGAGCTAGCAACGAAAACTTGATTATATAATAAAAAACATTTAATGGTAATTTCAACTTCATTAACCATTTAGTAAATTGTCTTGTTTTTTCTTTTGCACTTGCTTCCCTTAGTGAGAGCAATGCAAGTATGGCTAGGTTGGTTTTATATGAATTGAATAAGATAGCTTCATTGAAGCCTTTTGATTTCTTCATTGAATTATTTGCATGTTTTAATGGTATGTCCTCAACTTAAATGGAAGTAATAGTATTGCTCTTGATATTCAATTTTAGTTTCAATGGATTTGTCCATTCAATAGTCATTTCATCTTGAATGGTATATACTTCATCGCTGGTCTAGGATCATGTCACTGATATTGTGAAGCCCAAAAATTTTTAATAAGAATTTGTGACCTATAATAGTTAATATTTATCCAAATCACAAATCATTTTCCCCAAAACATTTACAATGTTGTGCTTTAGCTTCCCTAATTTTTTCATAATCTTTTAGCACTGTCAAAATTTCTTAAAAAACCTGCACATATCTGTATAAGAGGGGATTTTGGGACCGTCAGGTGTCCGTATTGCAAATCGATTTCACCAGATTTTCTAAATGAAATTTGCTAAATTATAAATATTTTTATGTAATTTTTGGACATAAAGATATAAAATATTTTGCATTAAATTAATATTTTAATATAAAATAATTACAATAATTAACATTTTAATAAAAAAATCTAATTCCACTTATTTATATTACGATAAAAAGTTTGCTTATTTCGGTTTTTCCCAAACAGAGAATAGCTCAGTGGAAATAAGAGAAAAAGAGAGAAAATTCATTTTTTGGATGAGTTCGAGTCATTTTCGTTCGTTCGTCCAGTTGGAAAATTTGTTTGTCTCGATGTAAGGCACATTATACCCATCTCAATTTTAAAAAATATGCAAGTTTTAGTGAATATTTCGATTAAAAATTTTTACCGTTAGTGAAAAATGAGGATAACTTTGCACATGTAAAACTTTCACCGCGTAACTTTTTATATGTTATAGAGATTATGATTATGCACATTTTGAATATTTTTTAAAAAAATTTCACATAGGGTTTTGAAATTTTTGGGGTTTTTATCAAATAAAAAACTATCTCGATATTGAAAAATAGTGTTGTAGTACAATAAAAGTTAAAACATTGGCTTACATAATCCCTATTAATTTGGTAATTTTATCTGAAAATGTGCATTTTTTGTCCAGTAGGATTTTTTGTTGTGTATCGTTATACAACATTAAAATTTTGATACATGCTCAATTACTCTTTAAAAATTGTTATAATGTTATTATATATGTGTATATATGAGTAAATTATATATGTTGGGAGTCATAAGGGGATAGAATCCTTTGAGATTTTGTCTGTGTCATAAAAATTTTGAGAGTTATAAGGGGGCCAGAATCATTTGAGATTTTGTATAAGAGAGGGATATGCGATATATTCTGGTCCTATAAGCACACATAAAAAGAGAGTCATAAGGGACCAGAATCTTTTGAGATTTTTTTTTGGGTCCGAGAAATGTGATATGAACTACTTTATGATATGAATTTTAATTTATTTATTTATTATGTACTTTTATTTAAATCAAAGAACAAATGTTTGCATTTATTATATTTTCCAGTTTAGTGATTCTCATTTTAGTGATTTATTTAAATTATATTTAACTACTTTTAAATATTCAACAAAATATTTGGTAAAAGAATATTTAAAAATTTAGATTAGTTTGTGTGGCTTGTTGAGCAGTTGTAGCTCACTATGGTTTTACTTATGATTTTCAGGATCTTGGAAGGGGAAATAGATTGTGGATTACTAGTTCAGGAGCATATCTAAGGTCATGTGTATTTTGTTATTTTAATTTTTGTACAGTCATTGCTAGTTAAATTTTCAATTCTGTAGCTCTTGTATGTAGCCATGTATTGTAGTATAGATATTTATTTTTATGAAATGAAATAAATTTGGTGGATGAGTTTATTTTCAATATTTTGATGTTTTAATAGCTATATAGTATGTAGTTTATTTCAATGAATTTTGGCTTAAAAAAAAGTTTGAAATAATTCCAAAACTAGAACTTTGGGTTTCCATGTCATAGCTCAACACAATAGGACCTGTTTTGGTCGGGTTGAGTTGTGATATATATGCTTTGAGATATTTTATCTGTACTTTCTAAGAGTATCCTTATGTCTAGTTTCAGGCATTTGGATAGTTGTGATTCAAATGCAATGTATTTGGGAAAACACTTAAAAGTCACCCTCTAGTTCATTTTAGGTATTGAGTGAATTCCAAATGCATTGTTAAGGTAGAAGTGATATCAATCTGTTGCAACCACATGACCATTATTGCCAGGTTGCTACCTAGCCTACCTTCCATCATCCACTGTTATGTGTCATTGTCCATCGCCTCATGTTGTCATCATTGCTATTACCTTTGCGCATCTTGTTACCCATCATCACCTACCATCCATCACTATCTACCAGCCATGACCACTCACCCTTGTCGGCCAATGTTGTCGCCCCCACAACTACCATTTGCTTATCGTCGACCAGTCATGCTTGTATTGTCGTCGGTCATCTTCTATCAATAATTATTTATAATGCGTTGTTATTTCAAATGCATTTTTATTTTACTTTGCATTTCCATATTTAAAAAATAACAAAATCCAATATTTGAGTGTATTCAATCAAATAGCATAAAAATATTTTTAATAAACTATTTGTATTTTATATTATGTATTTCCTTTTTTAATCAAATCACACTCTACTGTATAAAAAAATATTATATGAGAATTCTTTTTTATTGATTTAAGATTTGAAAAAAGGGAAAATGAAACTTATAAAAAAAGAAGTTTATGTCATTTGCATAAAAAAATAAATTTAAAAAGTAATAATTTGATCCAGATAAATTGCTCAGCCCATTTTTTTTGGTAAGGTTCAATTTTATGGAGGGCCAAATCACGCACCGACGGTATACAAATTACAAAAAGTTATTCATTCATGCTTTTTTTTTAAACAGGTTGAGCAACTTCAATGCCGGATCATGCAGAGGCATGAATGCCCGCCGTGCCATGGCCGTTGCCCTTGACTGAACTGACGCGCAATAATTTTTACGACCTCGTTCCCTTTCCCATCCTCTGAGACCTATAACTACGCTCCTATAAACCCAAAACCCTCATTATATAACTCTGGTTGGAACATTATCGTCTTTGTTATCTTTCCTTGGATTTGCTCTTTAGAAGCCTCTGATTTCTCAATTGGTAAGTTTCGTTTTCTGTTAATTTGTTCTTTTTCTTCTAATCCAATAATGGTATGGTTGTAGAGCTGATTTTTTTTATTTGGTCTTCTTTATACCAAATTTGAATCTTCAAGCTAACAGCTTTATTTTTTATTTTATTTTCATCTCCCATGCGTATGAGATCGGTGAGCGAAGGTTCATTTAAAGATTTACTGATGGGATTATGGGTTTTCTTCAGAAGTTTTAACCAGTTGTTTCTCATATGATGTTGAGTCAATGAAAACTTGTGTTTTCTTCTGAACTTACTAGTTTTCATATGTTTTATACTTCTTGATGTAGAATGTCCAAGTTTTATGTCAGTTAGGGATAATGAACGTCATGCTTGCAAGTTTGATAGTGTAATACATTTGTCATGCTAAACACCTAGCACATTGTGCATCTCATGGTAGACTGCTAAATAGATTGAGGGATTAAAATGTTTGGGCTTTTGTTTGAGTTTTCATGATTTAATTTAATCCAAGTTTTTTTAAACTCGGTTTTCATCTTTTACAGACAACATGAATCTGTAGAAGATCATACCTTATTTGTTTGGCAAGTTAGTTGGTCGATTGATTATTCTGGTGGATAGTGCATTTTAACTCTGGATGGTGGCCTTCTATGAAATTGCATTCCATCATAGGGTTCGAATTTTACTTTTCAGGTGAATAAGTTGGAGGTTGAATCTAATCTTTAATGTCTTTCATGGTAGCAGGGAAAGCACAAGATTGTTAATGAATTTTACAAGCCCATTAAAGGTGGATAGGTACCACTTACCTAACAGAATTAAAGTTAGAAAAAAATTGTAGTGCTTGTGTTGTGACCCATATTTTGATTTCCTTTTAGGAAATGTGATATTCATGACCAACTAATCCTTTTGTTTGGATGATACATGTGATTTAAGATTATGCTAATAATATCCAATTTTTTCTTTCTAATATATTGTCATGATGTCATGCTAGCTGCATCATTTCTCATAACTTATGCCATGGCTTTATGCCATGGCAAAGTTTACATATGGAGGGCATCATAGCTTGTTTTTGGACTTCAATTCCTTACTGCTAAATGGAGGCCGATTACATTTGAAGAAACAGTGAGTTTTGTCAAGAAAGAAAAGGTATGATACACTTTCAACATCGAAGCTTGAACTATTGCAATAGAAACACCTTTAATTTGCTATGTAAGTAGAATTAATAGAGATGATGTTAAATGAATAAGAGCTGAGAGTGATAGAATATATACTTGATAGAATTAATAGAGAGTGATACAATATATTAAACTCATGTCTATATGTTACAAGTTATTCTTGTTCAATGATTGCTTCTCCAAAAAGAGGTCTTTGTGGAAATGGTAGGCATATTCAGCCATTTCAGCCAAATTCAAGATGCCCTAACCCTAGGAAAATCAACTATTTAATGCATACAAATCAAAAAGAAATCCCTAAACAGTCCCAACATTCAAATTTCCCTCTTAAAACCCTCAAAAATCCTTCCTAAAGGGCTCCGATCGATCTCCGCAAGAGGCGGAGATCCCACCTTTGTGAAACGCCGCCGATCTCGTGCGGACCGGCTGGACCGGTCTAACAGATGGATGATGAAATGATCTTAAAAATGAATGAAATTATGTAGGCCTCTAGCTTAGTTGATTCTTAGAAATATAAATGATCTCAATTTTGCATGAAGGTATCCTAAGAAATTTAATGAGGTTGATCCTCCTGTTCTCAAGAGAAAAACCTATCCGAGAAAAGAAATATAAAAAATATACGAGAGAGGAAGAGGGAGGGAGGGAGGGTGATAATCTTTTTTTTAACACTCTTTCAGGTTCCACTCTGCTGGTTTTAGAATATATGGGAGAAATAGGATGAAATTTTCTTAACTGAAAGAGAACTCATTTTATTAGTGGAAGAATTTTTCTATCAGCACGGTAACTTTATTTACATATAGCACAGTTACTTTTATGTTTAATAGAACCTCTTTCCATTTCCCTGGAGCTTCTGAGATAGGAGATGCAACAGGTTCCGGTCTTCAAAATTTGCTACTGTTCCTGCCATTGTAATAAGTTAATAGAATACTTTTTTATGTTTTCATAATCATAAACTTCAACCAATATTGCCATCTTGTTTTGATTAAGTCCTAAATTTTCCAAGGGCTTCATAATGACCTCAAAAATTGATTGATGAAGGTTCTAAGCGAGTATTCTGGGATATATTCATTTACCAGAATACAGATGTCTTCCATCAGCTTATTCTCTCTTTAAAGATCCTCAAATGTGCTAGTCCTTTTTCTCAATCTTCCTAGTGCTCGAAAATATGCTAGGCATCCTAAATTTATTCATTTTTTTCTCTTATAGGGAATAAGCAACTTGTATAATATATCATACGTCTTAGAGTACTTTCAATGTATATGAATATATAGGGCAGTCTAAATAATTTGGTCAATTTAGGCTTTGTTTGGGACGACTTTTTTACTGCTTCATAAAGCAACTTTCTAGTACAAAAATTAACTTTTTTAAACTAAAAAATTGCTTTAAGAAGCAGAAAAAAGTTATCCCAAATGAAGCCTTAATCTCAGGATATCACGCTTCAACTATATAAATTTCATATAAATTTGATCTCAATTTAATCTCTCACGTAGAAATGTATTTTGAGTCTTGTAAATTATAAAGTCAAATTTCCATCCATCTATATATATAGTAAAAATGTTGAACATTGCTTCTTGGTTTTCGGTCTTTTTAATTAGGGGCTTTACCCAGAAGTCCATACCTTGTTGTCACCATTTTTTTAAACTAGAAGCAACGTCCAATATAAAATGTGTGAAAATAGAGGCAAAATCCATGGTAGTTGTTTTACAAGGGTAAAACCTTCTCAGTAAGGACCATGAATTAATCAATGTAGAAGTTTCCATGTCTTTGAATCAACTGTGATATAATTTATTTAGTTACTTGATCCAATAAATTTTACAATCATTAACAGACTAGGTTTTGTTGTTCCAACTGTTGGGGTTATAAATTGTCTCCTTCCTTTGAAGTAAATCACCCACTTTCCTGCCACCATTAATTATTGATGGCTAGTAAATTATAATAGTGCTCTTTGATCATAGAATGTGTCAATCCAGATCTACTTCATGGAATGGCAGAGGCACAGTCTTCACAGCTCGAAACTTGCCGGCATTGGTAAGATGTTCATTCTCCAACCTGAAAGTTAGATTTTTTCAAGACTACTATTACTTCTTAATTTCATATAAAAAAAAAAAAGTTTCTTTTGAAGTTTCCTGTATCACAGTTTACCTATAGAAATTCCAATGGCCTCTGCGAATCACTTCTAGAGCTGCCAGGAGAAATGAAGTCACTCTATAATCCAAATTCGCTATGTTTGAATGCAGAACTGATTGTAGCCATGCTAACCTCAGAACAAAGTTCAGTCCCTGAAATGTCACAAAAACTTGCTTTAATAAATTCACACTTTCCAAATCTTCATAATGTGGTTGTAAGATGAATAGGATGTTTCTGACAAATTGATCAACATTTCATTTACTTAGCCCTTCTCATCATTAAATCATTGGGTTTTAATATTGACAAAGAATTGGCTACTTCTTACTGCTTCTTAACAATTTCTAGTATAAAATTTTTATTTTTTTACTAAAAAGCTGCTTTAAGAAGCGGTAATAAAGCCGTCTCAAACGAAGCCTAAGTGTTGATATACCACATGACTTACCATCGATAAGAAGTATATGAACTTGCGACGAAGAATTAGTTCATTCCTAAGCCATGGGTTCCTTGATTTTGGTTGCAACAACCCCCAATCCTTAACAAAATCCCAGTACAATTGGTACACAGTTGCTGTGCTTGACATCAGTACAACAAGAGATAACCAACCAATAGTCTTCTCCTTCTCATAGGCAACCTTAGCTCCTGCTGCAAGCATTGCAGACACATACTTGCCCAGATTCACAAGATGGCTCGTCTCTCCTTCATCGAACCACCTTCGCGCACACTGTCACAAAGTTGTGTAATTTCTAATAGATTAGCTAACTTCAAATACAAAAAGTTTTGATTTTTTTTTGTTGTTGTTAAAAAACAAACCTGCATGGCTCTCCAATAGTAAGGAAGGAAGGACACAGCATAAGCTAAGTCTCTAAAATGTGTTGTACTCATGCAGTATCCATAATCTTGTGTTTTATAGCTTCCAGTGACATAATAGCAGGTCACATACTCCAGGTTCCTCAGCATAGGTACCTATATCATTTTAAAATTTTGATTAGTTTGTCAATTATCTATTTGAAATACAACGGTCTTTTTATGAATTTCAATGGACTTGAGAGAAGTAAATACCTGGCTGCATAGCTGGTCGGCCATGAAGAAATCAAGCATGACCACCTGGAAATCATGTTTAAAGAAGATTAAAATTTTGATTAGTTCTGCAATTTTTCATTTGAATTAAGCTTTTGCTATTGTTTTCAGCTTTAACTAACCTTGTAAAAAGGAGATAATATTATGTTCCTGATAATCCTAAGAAAGTGATAACGGCTTGATTTGTATATGACATTGAAAGGACACACAAGCACGATCATAAACATCTGCATTAAGAATTTAGAAGAGAATCTTATTATGCCAGAAATTTTAATCACAATTACAGGAATAAATTTCATTTCTGTTTCAGTAAGTGAAAGAAAAGAAGAATTTGATTCCTTTAATATGGCTTGATGCTATAATATATTCTTCTAAATTATGTAAGATACTAAAAAAGAGAAGGAAGGTGAGTTTACCAGAAGCAGAAAGCCTGGGATTGCTTGGACTTGAGTGGAATTGTAGCCTTTCAAAGTACAGGATAGATGGGCAAACATAATTCCCACCACTATAGTCATTGAGGTGGCACATATCAAAAAAACATCTCTATATTTGAGTTCTTTGGTGGTGGAGAACTCAAATATGAAACTATAGTTGATTCTTGTCTTTCTCCACATGTAGATGTTACACCCATAGAGGAAAAGATGTAGGAACAATAGGCTAAACATACTGTAATTTATGCATGGTTGTTAGCGACTTGAATATGATTTATGATTTTCAAATTAACAGAACTTGCCTTATAACTGGGTAAACTGTTTCCATATAGATGGTGTCTGATTGCCTTGTGTACATTCCAGCAATATGTGCCATGATACAATATCCGATAAAAAGCGCAATGAAGCATCCCGTAAAAAGACCTGTTGATAAAAAGCACAATGAAGTTTATTGTAACATCTCAAACTCTTAACTATCAAGATATTATTCGCTTTGGCCTGAGAGCTTTTGCCCTGTTGGTGTAACTTCCCAGTAGGTCACGCATCTCAGAATTGCTCTGGGATGAACACGCTTAATTACGGAGTTTCTTATGAAAATTCCAGTCATTACACCAAAATACGTCTCGATATTTAAGAGTTAGGTTTCTTTTACTTAAGGGGTTTCACAATTATTCCTTGTAATAATGCTTAATTATGCATGATTAGAAATTGAGTTTACCAATGAAGAAGGTGACAGCATGAGATTCCTTTCGTTGGTTTGGCTTGAGATATTTTATGGCCTTCCTCTTATCATCATCAGCAAAGTGTTTGGTAAAGTGATCCTCAACTTCATCCATTAATCTGACAGCCTGCTTCATTTCAATGTTTCTGTTCTTGTTACGAAGAACATTATTTTTGCCAATTTATAGATAAAAAAATGGAGATATTAGGAAGAAAGAACATTACCTTATCTGAACTGTTGATATAGGAGCTCTCAACAACTTTAAGGTATACAGAAAGGATTTGTTTTCCCATCACCTGCATTATCAATGAGTCAGTCTTGGCATGAAAACTTATAGTTTTTTCTAGATATATCAAATAGTGTAGCCAAATAACCTTATCAAACTTCTTTAAAATCTTCACAAAAGCTAACATATTCAGGTTCCTGAAACAATTAACAAAAATCCTTTACTTCCCAAACAAAAAATTGATAAATTGTGTTAGACTAACATATTGGGAATTTGTGCAGACCTATATGTTCTGAGGTATTCCAATCCCTTGAAGAGCTCAATATAGGCCCCTCGAATCATCTTCTCTGCATGGTGGAGCTTTGTCTTGTTGATACTGAGCTTGGCTTTCTCTGGTCTGCTTTTCTTGGACTGGTTTACTAAGTCTTCCCAGACCAAGTATGTGAGAGCTGAGATGGTTCTTGAAGGTGTAGTAAGGGGAATGTTGAGCTTGAGATTCTTTCCCTGACAGCTGAAAACTCTACCAGACAGACTTCTCTGCTTGCCTTCTTCTACTTTTCTGGGTTTAACAAGATTTCCTGAATCATCTTGCTCCTCCAGAGAATTGCTGAATTGAACCTCATTCTTCTCACACTCGAATGTCAAGCTCTCTTGGGTCTGTTCTTCTTCTGCTGTGTCCTTAATGGACTCATCCTCTGGTAGCATAGAAGAGGATATTTAATAGCTCAAAGAGCAAGTTCATGAAAATTATAAAGAAATATTCATCTGTTGGATATCCTGAAATATTTTGTATTAAGATGAGAGTATTTTTATGACATGTATTTAATGCTTCGTTGGTTTGGCATGAGTTATTCATAATATTTTTTTTTCCTCAATTATAATCATTATAGAAATAAGTATTATGAATGTCTAATAGTTTAGTAATAATTGTTTAATGTTTTAGTTGTAAAAATAACATATAAAATTAAGGGTAGGAGAAATTATTATGTGCGGTAACCGAATGATCTAGAGGCTAGTCATAATGCGTCAGGTACTGAGCGGTACAAAAAAAAATGATGTGGCTTGTTCTTATTCAACTTTGGATGCCGTTCAGTGACCGCATAGAATAATTTCTCCGAGGATAGCGGTAAAAAAAATCCCATCCTAATATAAAATGTATAAATATCTTGATTTATATTGTTTTTTAATTAAAATGTTAGTTTGAAAGATGGCCAATATAAAGAGTCCATTTTTTTTCCTTACACAAAAAAGAAAAAAAATGGTGTTTCTCTTAATTGCTTGATTGTGTAAACACAATTTATAATTAAATTTTCCTTAAATGTATTTTTCCTAAGAAGAACGAAAAGTCATTTAAAATTTTTGGGGAGTAAGGCTTCCTTTGGGATGATTTTTTTATTGTTTTTTAAAATAACTTTTTAGCGCAAAAATTCCTTAAATTAGAGATTTTGCATTAGAAAGCTTTTTCACAAAGCAGTAAGAAAGCCGTTCCAAACTAAAAAAAAAAAAAGCCGTTCCATACAAACCCTAAAATTATAATTCTGTCCCTAAAGCAAAAGTAGGCTTAATTAGCCGTGAACGCTTCAATTACCTTATTTGGACATGGCATTCTAAATGATTAAGGCTTCGTTTGGGACGGCTTTATTCATGTTTCGTAAAGCAGCTTTCTAGTACAATTTTTTTTTTATTTTGTAATAAAAAGCTGCTTTGAGAAACAGAAAGAAAGCCGTCTCAAACGAAGCCGAAATTTGCCACTCATAGTCCTATGACAGTACTGTTATAATGTTTGTTCTAGTTTAGAAATTTTAAAATTAAAATTTGCTCTATTGAATTTAAAGTATATGATATTAGAACTATTTAAACTTAAATAAAGTTTCAACGCTAAGATCTTTTGATTTTTTTTCAAAAATTAGTGGTGAAGAATTAATATGAATATTTGTCTAAAAAATTTAAAAATTAAAAAATAAAAATAAATCATTGATCCAATGGAGACCCGTGCCCTTGTGCTCCCGCCCTCACTTCACCACTGTATAGTATATAGATGGCTATAGGATTTTATAAAAATTGTTGTGAAATTATTGTGGGGAAAATAATTTAGATAACATCAATATAAAAAGTAGCTTTTCGCAACATAAACTTCTAAAAAAAGTTAAAAATAGGTAGCCAAAAGAAAATGAGTTTGCTGTCTAAAAAATAAATAATAAGAAAGCTGTCCCAAATAAATCCTAAATAAGAAACTAAGCATTATATTTGAAAGTAGTCATATCCAAATTAATAAATAAATCTATTTTGAATAATTTGGATTGTAAGGAGTTTAAAAATAAATAAATTTTAAAATGATCTAATTTATTTTGAGATAACTATAATATATTTATTTTGTTATGTGTAATATAAAAATTGTGGAGGAGTTTTTAGAGTAAATTTAATAATAATTTTAAAACGCATCCTGGCCCAATTCTTCTCTTTAAAAATATCTATTTTCAATATCTTTAATGGTTGTATTTATTAAGAGTATATATCGAACTTCAAAGTGAGATTTTGTTCTTTCCTATTTGTCGTTTGCACATTTTAATGCCTTCCATTTTTCACAAGTCCCATGCTTTCCTCATTCTCTGTTCATGCAATTTCTGCTATGCGTTGGCCAAACTAATTGAAGAATAGTTTGAGAAGAAAGGGAGATGAATCAAACTGACCAAAAGAAATCGAACCAGAACTGGACTGATCATCCTTTGAGTCAGAATTCATGGCGCCTCGATCCTTCTGCTTCCTCATAGCAATCTTAAGATCAAGTAGGATCTCCATTTGCTTTCTCAGAGACTCACCCCTCTCCAGAAACTCCTTCTCCTTTCCCTTATAGAATTGGTTCACTTTATTAAGCTGAAGGTCGAGCCTTGCAAAGAAATCTCTTGCAGCATCTGTGTCTGCAAATTGGTCAAGTAGTTCAGTTTCATATAAATCTCCCTTGCTTGCAGAGCTTGTAAGCTTCCGATGAACCTAATAAGCAAGCCAAAACTATATCATTATATCAAAACAAATTTTATAATATCTGAAGAATTAAAGAGCGAGAAGATTAAGTAGAACAATGCCTGAATAGTTTCATGCTTATGACCACCAGCACCTAAGATAGATAGCTTCTTTATAGGCGATAAGAGTCTTTGTGAAAGATTTTCCTGTGGTGATTTGTTCACTGAATTCTGGTTAGAACTATGGACATGCATTTTCTTGATGTCTTTTTTTAGCTGCCTGTAGTCCACAAAGGCATCCTTCCATTCAGGGACAATCTGGGCCTCAAACTGCTTGGAGAACTTCACCATCTCTTCTTCCTTTTTGTCACTCTCTGTTAGTCTTATTTGTTCTGTAAAACTTTTCCTTGGGCGTGGGATGAAGGAGGGGAAGTTGGGTAGTTTATATACATAGTAAGAGAGATCACTTGTGCAGGGAGACGAAAGCTTGGAAGCATCAAATTGTGGGTGTTGGGAGACAGCACATTCTGAGATATACTTAATGAGGAGCTCTTGTGCTAATATACTCGAGCATTTCAATTCCATTTGGGAAGCCATGGCTTGATGGAAGAGATTCTTCACAAGGAGAGGGATGGAGGAGGGAGAAAAGGAGAGAAAGGTTTGTAAGTGGGAGGATTTGGATGGTGGTTGGGACCCTCTAAGACTAGAAAGGAGAAATAAGCTCTATATTATTGGCTTGGTGCTAGTTTGTCATTTCCCTGGGCAATAATGTTTTTTTTTTTTTTTTTTTTGAACGGTGTATCACCCCCGAAAAGGCGCTTGGCAACGTGATTAATCCTCGACTAACATAGAAGAGGCATCCACCCCAGAAACCTCCTGACCCGCACTTGATTGAGCCCCGCTCAAGAGGCGCTGTCGCTCGAGGGGAATCGAGCACATGTTAGGAGGTTTCAACCGTACTCACCCACCAACCAAGCTAAACAACGGTTGATAACAATGTTTTATCACCTGATATATTTTTGGGTCAGGACATTCTAATTATTATTATTATTATTATTTTTATGACGAGCTCAAAAATAGCTGAGTTTATATTGAGATGAGTGCAATGTAATATCAATTGATACATCATATATTGAACACATTTCAAAATAAATATGATGACTTTGATATCCATCCAAAAAAAAATTGATTTAGAATATATTGATCTAAAATTTATCCTGTTAGCTTAAGGAGGGGTGGAGGGCTCCAATGCCATTGCTTTGCTCTTTCTTCTAAAGAAAGAGTCTTAGGTGGTTAGCGCAAAGAATTGTCTTTGTTTCAGGGAGAAAAAGCAACTCCATGTACTCGTCTTAGTGATTGCGCCATTTCTTAAAATTTAAAGCAATAACTTTCTAAGGCCTCGTTTAGAGCAGCTTTTCTTATTGCTTTTTAAAACAACTTTTTAATATAAAAATTAAAATTTTTGTATTGAAAAGTCGTTTTAAGAAGCAGCAAGAAAGCCATCCCAAACAAAGCCCAAGTAATTACCTCATTTTGATAATAACAAGAACCAAAAAATATATAGGGGTTCCTTAAGATCATTTTGCTAAAGTTTGTAGTAAAATTAGGCTTCGTTAGCTTTCTTACTGCTTTATAAAGCAGTTTCTTAGTACATAAATTTTTTGAATTTGAAATTTTTGTGCTAAAAGGATGCTTCATAAAACAGTAAAAAAGACGTCCCGAGCGAAGCCAAGTTAAATTAACATTAAAGTGGATATCTGTTTCTATTATGTGATGTCAACATTTCACACTTGCTTGCAAATGTAGAAGGCATCTTGGGCATCTCATGATATGAGGTTCAATTAATAATTTACCCAATTGGAGGAAACATATAAAAGGTGAACAATTTAGGACTAACTTATTGCTTGTTGATAGAAAATTAATAGGCAATATAAAGCAATGAAATTTATTAGATTTCATTTTTGGTTGCTGTAATTATGAATTAATATGGAATTTGAACATCACAAATTTATCAAATATAAGGATTTCAGTTTAACATATAAAATAAGTGCAATTGAAATAGAATCAAATAGGTTAAATTAGCTTTTATCCAAATTATATAAATGAAATTCACCATATTCTTGTGCATCAAATATTCAGAATAGAGCTCATGCTAAGTTGAACCGATTTAAGCTAAATTAAGGTTTCGCTTGGGAAGGCTTTTTTAATGCTTCTTAAAGCAATTTTTCATTTTTGTACTAAAACATTGCTTTAAGAAGCAGTAAAAAAAATTAGTCTCAAACGAAGCCTTCAACTCTTCTAAGAGCATAGTAGCTTATTCCTATAAGAAATTCATCTTAAGTAGGCAAACATAACGGAGAATTCACAGTCGACAAGTAAAGTTTATCGATGGCCCTAGCGATTAATTTCTATGAAGTTCGTCGTGACTATTTGTTCAAGGTGATGTGATTTTTCAAGGCTAATTACTAATCGACAACTCATATATTCAACAAGAAATAAGGACAAAATAGATTTTCTGATCATACTACATAACTATAATGTTTTCTCTTATTTTCTGTATAGTCATATATGTAACGCTTAAGCCCTAACCGAAATCTATAAATTGGAGATCAAGAGGTTTGCTCGTTTCATGCAGTTTTTTGTATTCAAATTATTTTAATGAAATCTCATAGCTTCTTATCCTCTCATTCTTTTTTCTCTCTTTATTTTTTCTTTTTCTTTTTTAAGTATTATGAATATAATTTGGTATGATTCACAAATATTTCTGGATTCCATAACTCCAACCAAATATGATGAAATTCTTGTAAATTTTCAACTTTTCAATAAATATTATTGTCATCTCCTTAATTTTTATTTGATATGTTCAATGAGCCCTTGTTGTTTGCTTGCTTTAGTAGTGCAAGCTTGAGGTTTGTAAGGTTTTATAGCCTCATTTATGTTAGATGAGGTTAAAAATCATGTTTTTAAAACTATGAATCTTATTAAATTTAGGATTAGATTGGATAAAATTAGACATCTATTAAAAGCTAATGATGATGTCAAACTTCACTTGCTTTATCAAAATTTTATAAAAAATAATGATTTTTTTATAACTAAAATATAGGTGCTTCTTCATGTTTGAGATGTTTATTATTAGCTTGTTCAAATTTGATTCGAGCTCGATTCAAGCTTTTTTTTTTTTATGTTCAAGCATGATTCGTTTAAAAGAATATATGTTCTTGTTTGGTTCATGCTTGGTTCGTTTATGCTTATCGAGCCTTAAAGAAACGAGTATTATCGAGCCTACTAACAAACAATCGCTAGACTCGTTTGCGAACCTATATAGGGGGTGATTTCGATCTATCAAACGAACCCATTCACGAACAAACAAGCTCATAAAATTATTCTTCTTATAAACAAGCTTATTCGTGAACAATTCAAACAAAAAATATTACAAACATAAATAAAAATCTCTTCTTTGAGAACAAATTCATTATAATGAAATAGTATAACAATAAAAATGTACTTACTTTTTATATAATAAGAATAATTTATTATAATAAAACTAAAAATTACAGATAAAATTACAAAATAATGATTCAAGCAAGCATCTTAACGAGCTTCTTATCGAACTTGTTCACGGGCTTTAATTGATATTGTTGATGAACATAAATGAGTCGAACACATATCTATTCATATTTGATTTTTAATAGTCGAGTGTTCAAACTTGTTTGATTACTTAAACAACAATCATGAACATGTCGTAATCAAGGCGAGCTTTGAGTAGCTTGTTGAACATTTTGTTAATTTGCAGCCCTACGAGCAACAAAATGAGCCCCAAAGTAGATCTCATGTAAATCTTAATTAGTTTTTTTATTAGCTAGATTAAGTAAAATGAGAAGATATAATAATGTGCCTAACCCTATCAACACTCTCTCTCTCTCTCTCCATATATATATATAAGGACTAAAATGATTCATTGATTACTCTTTATGAAAAATTAAAATAGTCTCCAACTATATTAAAACATTATTTTGATCCCCCAACTTCTTAAAGAGGAACAGAAGTAGACCTATCATGGGACTACTCTGGCTCTTTTTTTTTTTTTTTTTTTTTTTTTTTTTTTTTTTTTTTTTTAAGATTTGAGGTACCAAAATTATTCTTCATAATGAGTCAATGGATCATTTTGATGCTTATAAATATAAAGATAGAACATATTTTGCTTTCAGATTTTGCCCTTCATTGTAAATCTTAAATGATAAAATATTTGAAGTAGCTAAAAATAACTTATTTTTTATTGCCAATGACACTTTACCCATTTATAATTTGTGATATTGGGTAAAAGATGTAGAAGAAAAATATCCTTTGTTCTTCTAAAATGGCAGTAGTACTCTGTTCATTCATAGGAATAAGCTACAACGCCCTTAGAAAGAGTTGAAGGCTTCGTTTGGTACTGACTTTTTTTATTGCTTCGTAAAGTAATATTTTAGTACAAAAATGAAAAAATTGCTTTAAAAAGCCGTAAAAAAGTCGTCCCAAATGAGGCCGAAGTTTTTGCTCTCATGCATATTTTTGAATAATTGAATGGAGAAACTAAAAGATTTTTTTTTTGTACTTATGCAATACCAATTTTTTCTTACAACATTACTTCTCAATTATTTGAAAGGGTGGAGAAGGAATGAGTTCAAGAAAATTATGTTTTTAAAGAATCACAATCAATATATTGTTGATCAAATAAGCCCATATGCCTTATGGGTGACTTATTAGTGGATCAAAGTTTAAAGAAATTTATTTCAAGATATATTTATGCAAAATATATTTTTCATATTATAAAAATTATTTTACAATCTTGAAAATGTATTTGATGTGCATTTTTTAATTTTCTTATTACTGATTAATTAATTGGATTAAAAATTCATTATTAATTTTATAAACAATAAGTTTCTAATATTCATGATCTTGATTACTTATATATTTATCAAATTTAATTTGTTCTAAAAGTTTCAAATATTTCATTACAAAATGTTGACTATGTTAATTATGATTAAACAGATATTTATATTATATGATAATATGAACTTATTTTATATTACACTATATTCATTTAATTGGTTACATAAATTTTGATATTTAATGTCATTTATCTTTGATATTAAATTCATTAAATTATATTATAATTATTATTTCCTCCAATATGTGCTCAAAAATACTCTTGTGAATTTTCCTACCAATATTATTTTGCGGGTAAATATAATAACTAATATCTATAACTTTTTTTAAATATTTCTGATGACCGCTTAAAGATTGGAAATCGATCAAAAATCTTATGTCTAAAATTTGTTTTCCAGGAGTTGGCGAAAAAAGCCAAGGATCATAAATAAACTCTAAATGGCCCTTTTACACCATTTATTCTATCCCAAATAAACTTCATCTATATATAAATACTTATCTTTTGACATTTTATCTGACAAAAATGACCATTGGGGCCACCCTCTTATATATATATATATATATCAATTCTAAAGCCTAATGTCCTAAGTGGCCCCCAAATTAATAGGAAAGCCAAATATTAAAATTAAAAAATAAAAATAAAAAAAAGAAAGCCAAATCTTAGGGGTGTCAATATTTGACCCGAACAAAAAATCTGACCTGAAAATTTCGGGTTCGGGTTGGCGAACCCGAACCGGGTCGGGTTCTGGTTAGGGATTTCG